TTCCTTAATCTATCATGAAGTGGTTTTGCTACTCTACTAATATTAGAATAAAATTCTAAAACATAATTTATAGGAACCTTTGTAACTATGGTTTATAAGAGAATTTATTAGTAAAGGTAAGGGATCTCTCAATAGATGTAATAATACCTTGACAGATATAATGACCAAGAAAATGAATACGATTTTGAAATAGAGAAACCTTTGATTTGAAAACTACTAAACCATTTTATTTTACTACATGAAAAAATATGTGTAAATGTTTAAAGTATTGTTTTAAAGATGTTGAAAAAATAAAAACATCATCAATATAAACAATGCAAAACTTGAAATATGCGTTATTATTTGAAATTTAGATGATGCACTTTTCAAACCAAATGACATAACGTTCCATTCATATTGGCCAAATGGGACAGTGAATGCAATGTTGCAATGATTCTTAGGATGGATCTAGATTTGCCAAAAACTTGATTTCATGTCGAACTTGGAAAATATAAAAGCAAAATGCAATTTTTAAAATGAATCTTTTTTATTTAGAATTGGATATTTGATCCATTTTAGGGCTGTATTTAGTGGTTTGTAATTGATCACAAGTCTAGGTGTGCCTTTTTCTATTCCAGAGTTTTTGTTAACATAGAACGTGGCACACAACCAAGGTGATTTGGACTTCTGGATGAGACCTTTTAACTCTAGATCTTGAATTTTAAGTCTATAATGTTGTTTTAATTCAGCATTCATTTGAATTGGTCTCATCTTTGTAGGTATTTTTTTTTCACATAAAAGTTATCTTTATAGAAAAGATCAATAACATGTTTTTTTTTCTTAGAAAACATTAGGTGTATTAGAACAAATTTCATGCTTGATTTTATTTTGAAAATCTGAGTCAATGTGTAATACTTTAGTGTACCAACAATTTTGCAATACTCAGTGACTTGAGTTGCTAAGAGAGGTTCACCATTATAAGCTCAACGCTTAAGTCCCGTGGAGCATGGTAAGGGATAAGGTTTAACACCAATTATCTTAGTGCGATGGAGAAGATCACCAGTGTATTTTGATTGTTAGAGGTGTAAACACGTAGAGTTTCGATGAGCTTGAATGCCAAGAAAATAATTTAATGAACCAAGATCCTTCATTTTGAATTCCAGCTGCAACTTGGCAAGAAAAGAAGCAATAAGAGAAGGATGTGTGTCTATCACAAGAATATCATCCGCATAGATAAGAAAGAACAAATGAATATTTCCTTAATGATAAATAAATAATGAAGAGTCCTCCGTGAGGAAATAAATCCAAACTGAAGTAGAGACTAAGATAGGCATATAAACCTAGCCCATGGGGCTTATTTGAGTCCATAAAAAGACTTCTTAAGCTTCCAAATATAGATAGGAAAATCTGGATGAACAAAGCCTTAAGGTTCCTTCATATAGACTTTCTCTTATAAAATACCATGTAAAAAAACACTAGAAACTTCCAATTATCATATATTCCAATCAAAGTGAACAAAAAGAGTAAGAATAACTCGAATATGAAAGGTTTAATATTGGACTGAATGTCTCAATGAAATCTATACCACATTCTTGTTCAAAACCTTTAGCCACTATCAGGCATTAAGTTAATCAACCTGACCATTAGATGTTTGTTTAACCTTGTAGACCCATTTGTTATCAACAACATTATGATTCAATGATCAAGGGAAGAGTATCCACATATAGTTTGCAATCAGAGCATCATATTTTTCTTGTATAGTCATGCAGTATTTAGGTTGCAATGAGGCTTATTTGTAAGAACGAGGTTCAATTAACATTTTTATACTAGTGAGAGCCTTAAAAGGATGTTTTATGGAGTAGCATGTCTTATACTCAGGGAAGGTGCAAGGCTTGAGATGACCTGTTTAAGATCGTGTGGTTATAGGATGGGATATCTGAAACAAGAGGAATTATAGGCGCTGGTAATTAAGAAGTAAGGTGGAGATGGAGAAATATCTAGACTTGAATTGGATGTTGGAACAACAAAATTATATAAAGATGATAAAGGGTTTAGTTAGAAGAATTATGAGAGGTTGATGAATTTGCATGAGTGCTAAAAGATAGATCAAACCTAATATTACAAAGAGATAAATCATACTTAAAATTTAAAGAAAATGACACAGGGAGGGAATTACCATGAGAGGTAGCCACCATGAAAGGTTTGTTAAGGATGGTTTGGTCGTAGAGAAGGATAAGAACAGGTATTAGACGCATGCTTTTTGAAGTGGCATAAAGGATGGAAGGTTTGCTGGTAGGATTTTGTGGGGTATTTTGGCTTTCTGTTGTAAGGTTGGTGGGGATGTTTGGGAGCAAAAAAGGCTAAATTATTAGTTTCAGGCGGGATTGAATGGAGTTGATTTTCTAGAAGTAATTCATAGGATAGTTGCTCGGCTTGGAAGTCTTCAAAGGGGAGAGCTTTATCTCAGGTGGCAAGGTGTAGATAGGTGACGAAGGGGTGATAGGAATGATTTAAACCATTCACAATATAAGCAATTAAATCATCATTATCAATGGTCTTACCAACGACTCCTAGTTGTGCTACTAGTTGCGTTGCCGAATCAAGGTAAGTCACACACTTTATAATCTTGATTCAAAGTTCAAAGGAGCTGCTTCAAGTGGTTAATGCGAGATCAAGATGAAGAAGCAAATGTATTGGCCAAGGCAAGCCAAACAGGTCACGCTGAATTGAGATTTGAGACCATACACAGATGGTGCCACTTTATCAAAAAGAGTAGCATTAATCCAGCCCAAAACAAATTGATCCTTTCAATTCCATAGGATATACTCTGAATTGAGAGTAGTTGTTAGTTTCCCTTGATCATTAATAAGAAATGAATTACAAATTTTGAGATAAATATTAGCATTCTATATAGCATTAGTTAATTTTGTTCAAAACTTCAAATTAATTTTCTTTCCAATTTGGACTTTTTTTTTAATTAACATAGTGGTCCTGATCAGCTCGCGTGCACCTTGACTAATCCTACGAGCCTTAAAGTTAACAACTATATAACCTTTCTGACTCGCCAGACTCGTACATACTTAGACTCAACACAATTCTAAACCCATAAGCAATAAGTCTGATGGCTTATTAGATTCATATCCACGATTCCAAACCTAAATGGGCTTGGTATGTAGCTAAGCCTAAAAATGATGAGTTTGAGCTAGACTTATGCCTAGTTGGCCCCAACACGTAACCTATGTCCACTCGTTAGATCCAAGGTCATGGGTGACGAGTTTGACAGCTTGTCAGATCCATGTCCATTTGGGCTTGGTATGTGGTTGGGCCTAAAAGTGTTGGGTCTGGCTGCTTACCAGACCCATGACTCAGCAAGTGGCTGAACCTAAGGATATTGAATCTGAAAGCTCATGAAACTCATGTTCGCTTGAGTTTAACACATAAATAAGTTTAAGGATATTGGTTCTGACATCTCATCACATTTATGTCCATTTAGGCTCAGTATATAGTTAAACTCAAAGATATTAGGTCTGACAGCTTCCTGGACAAACATTCGATTAAGGTAAACACATAATTAAGTCTAAAAATATTGGGTTTAACAATTTACCAAACTCGTGTTTATTTGGGTTTGGCATATAACTAAATCTAAGTACATTGGGTCTGGTGGCTCATCAAATTTATACCTATTTAGACCTAGCTCGTAGCCACGTTTAATAATATTAGGCTTGTAAGCACGCTAGACCTATGTTATTTAGATCGACATTATAACAAGCCTATAAATATTATTCATGAATACAAGCTATACCTATTTATAATTAAATTATCCCCTTTCTTTAGAACTTTTTAAATAAAAACTTCAGCTCAAAATTTTTTTTATATAAAACTAAAAAAAATATTAATTAATCACTCACTTCTAAACTCCTGAAAATTATTTTAAATGATGTTAAATTGTCATGTAGATATTTTACTAATTCAAACTAATTAAAATATAAAATTCAGGGCTTGGATGTGGAAATCATACTCCAGAGTCCAAAGTTCAAATCATGAAATGAGAAAAACTACTGTTAAATATAAATAGAATTGTGAAGAAACGAGCTCGAATTTACTTGTGAACTTTTGTAGAAGTAATTAAACAAAGTTCAATCCTGGTGGGTGGTGGTTAGCGGGAGCATGAGACAAGAAGCACCCAAGGACACGATGGCATTCTTGTTTATTTCTGCATATGATAATTGATATGGTAGAAGACAATTCCGTCGTCACTCATCACAGTCGTACTTGATTCCCGTCTACCGATGCTCTTCCTTTATGGTTTCTTCCCCTATAAACAAATCACCACTCTAAGCAAACAACAGAGCTTTCTACCCTTCTTATCTTTACCGATTCCCTCAATACCATAACCAAGAAGAAGAAGAAGAAGTAGAAAATGGTAAAATACAGCACCTCAATGGCTTCTTCTCAGTTTCTCTTTCTCCTCTCTTCTTATATAAGCAACCACAGGGCTGGAAGCTGAAACCATCAATTCTGACTTTTGAAGTAATAGGTTGATGATAATGTTTCATAATATAGGAATGAATCAAGGGTTACATTGGATTTTATTTAAAATAAATAAATTAATGACTCCTTTCATAAGAAATAGCAAATCACTCCTTACCAAAAAACCAAGAAAACTAACGTGTTTAACTAGAGGTTTTGGTTTTGGATAGTCTCGCGGCTCATCATCCTTGTATGCAAGTGTGGGCTGTCTTGTCTGGTGAGGCATCTCTTCTTTAGTTGTTGATTCATGGTATGGAAATGGTCTCAGAATGTCTAGGATTGTGGTTGTGCAGAATTTTAAAAAGTTTTAGTTTTGTTTAGATTTAAATTATTTTTTTATTTTAGATTATTTTAGTATGTTAATATTAAAATAAATTTAAAGTTTTAAATTATTTTATATTTTAGATTATTTTAGTTTTAAATATTATTTAAATATATTTTAACATAAAAAATAGTTTGAAAAATAGTTTCCACCGAGTCACCACTGTTTTCTCTTTGTTTTATTTCATTCAAAACCAGGTTTTCCATGTTGCCCGTTTCTTTTCCTTGGGATACGAGTCTTTATATTTGCTTCTTCTTCCTTATTTCAGGCAGCTTGAAAAAGGCAGACATACTATAAGTCTGTTTTTTCTCCGAGGGAAATTTAGTTCTTGGGGTGGTTTAGCAATGGCCGGTGTGTTGCCTGGTGTTGAATGTGCTCGGAGGAGGAGGTTCCATCGAAGCGGAGATTCACTTGGAGCCCCAGCACATGGCTGGACAAGAAGGCCATCTTTTTGTTTGTACACAAGCAGCCATGAAAATCATCATGGTTCAATCTCTTCTGTGGTATCTTACTCTCTATCTACAGATCTTTTCCTTTCCTATCTTATGTTTTTGGTAACTGTTGCTGAGATTTTCTTTTTTCCTTTATAGAATTGGATTGAAAAGCCAAAGCAAAGAAGCATATTAAATCAGGCATACGAGGATGAGAAGCTGGGAGCAGTGGCAAAAGAAGCAAAGGAAAGATTAGATGAGAGGCTAAGAATGCAAAAGAAGAAATCAGAAATCACAAGGAAAACAATGGCTTCAGCACAATTCATATGGTCCTTGCTAATATGCAGCTAGTAGCCAAATCAAATTTAATACTTGGATCTGCTTTCATGCTTACGTACTATGTTCTTTTTCTTTCTTTTTTCCTGAATTCAGGCACAAAAGCACAGGAAATCTAAGAGGTGTGGATGGCAGATCAATGGTACTAGGGGAATTGCAAATGGAGGTGTATAGTCCCAAGAGGAGTGGGTCTAAGAGACTCAACTGGGCCAAATTGAGCTGGAAAGCTGCTGACCAAGACGAGTGCACCATCTGCCTTGATCGGTTCAAGTCTGGTGAGACCTTGGTGCACCTTCCTTGTGCACATAGGTACCACCCCAAATGTTTGGTGCCATGGCTAGAAAACAATGGCCAATGCCCTTGTTGCAGAATGGAAATACATGTTGAACTTTCGTAGAAGCATTGCTCTCTCTCTCTCTTTCCTCTCTTTGTAGGTACCAATTAGGGTTTTGAGAGCAGCTTTGTTTGCTTTAATAGAGTAATTTGGGGTGTGCCAAGACATGTAGTGCTTGGCTTCTCTGTGTTCGTAATTTTCAGTTTTCCATATTAGCAACAGAGATTTTGGGAAATTAAGTCTACTGACAAAGTAGTATACAAATGATTTCTTTTTTAATATGCGGCAGCTCAAAGGTTGTATAATGTAAAATCACGGTGGCTTATGTTTTCAAGCTTTTGTAGTTTTTTTTCTACTTTCAAACCTAAGGCAAAAGATTCAATTTAGAGGGTGTTTCTGATGTTTTTTCAAGTATTTTTTGTTTAAAAATATATTAAAAAATATATATTTTTATAAAAAAATATTTTTAATATCAGCACATCAAAATAATTAAAAAATATAAAATAAAAATAATTTAAAATATGAAAAATTCAAAATTTCATGAAATAGTGGTTGCACTGTTGCCCCAAACACATACTTAATCAGTGCTTATATTTTTTAACACAGTCTCACTTTGAAGATTTTCTGATTTGCTATCCTACACCACAATCTCATTGTGCTATAATTATTATTTTAAAAATATCTAGTTAATCAACTTGCATTATAATTTTATATAAATTTTATTAAAAATTCTATTTCAAAACCTTAATTATGAAAAAACTAGAAATTTAATTTTTTTTTGAACTACTTTTTCAATTATCAATCACAAAAATTACCACATCCTTACAATATCAAAATATTTAAACACAAAAACTTAATGAAAAACTATTTTTTTTTCTTGAGCATTTTAGCTTTTTGTCAGGATCCCTGAGGTGTTAATTTGCAAGAAAGTGAAGGGCATTGCAAACCTTTTTATTTTTATTGATATAAATGTTTGGGCTGATTTGTGCTTTGAAGTTATTAATTATATAAGTTTTTAATAATCCTAAAATTTATAAAATTTGAATTATTAATCTTTAAAAAAAAATATAAAACTCGACTAATTAATATATACTCATCAAAGGTTAGGACATTACAAACTTGCTCAATCAGGTCTCCATAATAAAATGTATTATCAGACTAATTTTTATGAATTGAGAATAAATAATCAATATTACTAGCTCATAAATGTGTAATGCATTGTAAGAAAAGAAGCCAATGAAAAGTTTCTTTTTATAAAATTAGAAAAGCATAGATCTGCAGAATTGTAATTTAAATTTGTAATGCATTGTACATAGGAATTTCAAGCATGCTTGGTGCTTGGCCATTTTTTTTTTAAAATCGTGTGAATATGCAACTTGATAATTTCAAGGCCTCGTACAGGTCGAAGCTTGAATGGACAGCCTAGCTACTTTTTGTCCTGATGCGATCAGTGGTCAATGCTGAGGAAAAAGAAAAACTGGTAAAATTTTAATTGATTTTGAAAAAGAAAAACTGGTAAAATTTTAGTTGATTTTCTAGCAGCAAGTGATTCTCATTGCTCCAAAGATCACTGTCTATCCATTCTTTTGTCGCACAACTTGATATTCAGTTCCAAATAATGCACCTCTTCTGTCTATAAAATGGGCCATAAATTATGGAATTGCAGCATGGGAATTATGATACACCTCTGCTTTTTACCACATTATAAAAAAGGCAACCATGTGTGGCCATACAAAACTTGAAAAACCATGCTGAAATGATTGTTGTCGTGAAAATATGAGGTGCAGCTGTTGCAAAGCTATTTGCTTTGTGTCCCTTTTGTAAGGAGATTAAACCTGTTTTTCGTTGAAATTTGAACATGTTAATGTTTGGTTCAAAACACTGATTTTTTGCTGATTTCATTAGATCAAGGACATCAACTTCTTATTTTTTCTGGTGAAAGAGATGAAAAAACAACTAAATGGCTAAACATGTGGGAGAATCTGACATGGTATGTTATTTCTTAGAGCCACTGAGAGCTTTATAAACAGGCAAAACTAGGTTTTTTGATGAATGAATGGCATGTAAAATAAACAATGCGAGAGAGGAAAATAAACGCCAGTTAAAAAGCACAGCCAACGGATGCTCCTGCGATTGTTGATGTTTAAATGCAATGCTAGCCACCATAAATGCATTCGATGCCAAACTTTGAAATTTGTGAGAAAGGCTTGGATGCTCAGACTATTTAAGCTAAGCTGCATCTCCTGCTATTTTATGTAGAACCAAGAAAGAAGAGAGAGGAGTCCATAGTGAGTGATATAATTTGTGTGAGAGAGAAAGTTTATGAAGTGTTTATTTTATAGTAATATTAGTAATAGAGAGATTGTTAACTGTTTTTTTATTAATAAAAAATTATTTTAATTTTTTAATATAATTTAATTAAGTGAACTATATAAATTTTATATGTTTTATTTTTTATTTTATTTTGTTTTTAGTTATGTATTATCAGCATTTTGTATGTCGTGGTTCTAACATTTAGCACATAAAAATATTATGTGTACTTATATTAACCTTAGTTTGTTAATTAGAATAAATTATATTATTATCTATGCTACAGGTCAAGTTATTTTTTCATATATAAAAAAATATCCAGATATTATTAATATGTTTTTTAATAAAAAAATTAATTTATATAAGAATTGACATGATATAACTTGGTTAATTTAACAAGTCTAAAGAACACCCGAACAACAAATACAAAATATAATTTGATTAAAAAAATCAAAATGATATCTATTTTTAAATATTTAAATTACAACATATTAGTTCAATTTGATTTAACCTATCAATTTCACTATTTAGGTTATGAGATCTTGATAATCTTATATAAAGTAAATAAATAAAAAATTATTAAACTCAATTCTCAATCAACTCTATATTAAATGATGAAATTAAAAACAAAACTTAACTAAAAAATAAATTTAAGTCAACTTAGACTAACTTACAAAACTTGAATCAAGAGACCAAGATAAAATCATATAAACTAAATCAAGATAAATTACAAAGTTCAGTTATCAATCAACTAAATTTTAAAGAATAAAAAAGACATAAAAAACCACGAGAGTTAATTGACCGAACCTATAACTCAGATTATGAGATTAGGATAACCTTATAACACAAACCAAGATAAATTAGCCAATTCCCAATTAACTTAATATTGAAAAATAAAATTAAAAAAATTAAATAAAAAATAAAAATATGTAATTTCAATTATAAAGCTTATTTCAATCATGAGATTAAAATAACCCCATAAAAACAAATAAAAATAATAATTATGAAGCTTATTTCAATTAACTCAATGTTAAAAATAAAATTCAGAAAAAATAATAAAAAATATTACCATGTCAATATTATTAACCGCAAAACTTACCAAATAAGTTAGGAGAATAAAATAACTTTATATATATATATATATATATATATATATATATAAAAGATACGATACCCATTCCAACATTGAAATTAAAAAAAAAACTGTAAGTTTGAGAATAAATAAATAAAAAACCCTAAAAAATTTTGATAACCAAGTTAGAAATGCACATTTAACTGCTAATTACTACAATAAAATGTTAAGTAATTTTATAATATGTTAACTTAAATAAATATTTTGACATATATAACATCACCAAAACTATGCCAAAATGTTAATATCAATTTCAAAATCATTTATATAATTTCAAGTTTTAAATTGAATTTAGTTAATTTTATCTTAAAATTAAATTTACCATCATCAATCACATCACATTCAGATTTAAAATGGATGTCCTCGTAAACATGAGTGAGAACAACTTTAAATTTACTTATAATATAATAATACTAAAAATATTGTTTTTGCTATTTATTACTTATGAGGCCATTATTTAATGAACAATTTTTTATTTTTTAATTAATATGTTGGGATAACTTATATATATCTCGATTAATCTTATATATTCTAAAATTAACAATTATGTAAATATCTAATGGCTCTGAGATCTATAAAACTCGAACAGGTGACTTTTAAAATATAATAAATAATTTATGATATATTATGTTTGTAAAATGCTCATGAATTCAATATATTTGATAACATTTTAAAATTTATGGATTAGTAGCTAAAACACAAGTGATATATTAAATAACTCCAGAATTCCAGTCTTGTTGCTTTGCTGAACTTAACCTAATTTTACCCTTATAGTTTTGCTGCATTCCTTGCAACATTGCAGTGCTCACAAAATGTTTATCTCCGCTACTTTACATAACCAATTTGCATTTGAGCGTGAGTTCTATATATACTTAGAGAGAGAGGGAGAGAGAGGAGCGTTGTGGTGGAGTTATTTGGTTATTTTAGTGGTTAATTGGTTATTAAATTATGATTCGAGTATGTTAGTTTTTTTTATTTGAATTGCATGATAAAATAACATTTTTACCTTAATATCAATAAAATTTAGAATTATTAACTAAGGATTATTTTTTATTTTTAAAACTTTAAAACCATAAAATTACTTATTTACTTTTAGGGTAAAAAAAATTTAGATGTTGATAAAGGGTTTTTTACTTTTTAGAATACAATAAAAATATGCTTTTACCTTTAGAAATGACAACAAAAAAAACAAGGCATGTGTTTAGTTTTTTTTTTTCCATTTCAAATATGTTTTTTTTTGTAATTTTCATGATCATAAAAGATATTCTAGTATTTTAAAGTTAAAAAAATAATTTTTTATTAAAATATATTGTTGGCGCGTGCTCATTACATGCTAGCACGTGGGTAATATTTGCGCCATTTAAGTGACGCATGCAATGCTATATGATGGTCAAATCTATACCCCCCTTATATCTTTGGAAATGCCATTATATTCTCTTTCTATTAGTGTGTTGTATAACAGTAAATGATAGACGGTTTGTCATTGGTGAATTTTTTTTTTCCTTTTCCTTTTTTCTCTTTTTTTTAAAGAAAGTACAAGTTTATTATCTTTTCTTTTGGTTTTACAATTTCAGTCCTTATATTTTTTATTTTCCTCTTTAGCCCTTTTATAAAAAAAAAATTATGTTTTCAATCTAGTCCTTAAATTACAATTTCATAAGTTGTCATATATTTTTGTTTTACAAATTCAGTCCTTATTCTTTTGATTTATGATTTGTTTTTTACTCTTTCGTTAAAATTTTATTGGTTTTTTAATTTCATCATCTAATCAAAGTTTATATTGTTTTATTCTTTTCAGTTTAGTCCTTATTTTTTAATTTAACCATCCAATTTAAAATTTTTGATGCCTTCTAATTTATTTTTTATTTTGATTTTCACCCATATTATTTTATTTATAATTTTTTATGTGATTGATTTATTTCTGGTTTTATCTTTCAACGTTTAATTTGTTGGAAATTGAGTTTCGTAGTTTTTCTATTTGTGGTGCTTTCAATCTAATAATATGGATCATGATTTTGAAAATTTAATATGACTCATATTTTTTTTCTTATTTTTTTATAATTTTATCATTCTATATTAATTTTTAAAATGATTTTGTGTTTATTTTTATTATTTTTATTGATTTATCTTAGTCTCATAATTTAGACAATGAGTTTTATAAAGTTTTTTTGAATAGAGGTTTTTTTTTTAAAACAAAATTAGTATTTGATTTTTGAAGAATTTCATTTTATTTTATATAGATGAGCTTTATTTTATATATAAAAATATTTTTTATAATATGTTTTTTATAATATTGTTTTATTTTATTTTATTCATTCAATATGTATTTTTATTTTTATTATTTTTTATTAATTCTAATAAACAAACTTGGTAGACACAAACCAATAAATTTCTTATTTTACAATATCAAATATTTTAATCTAAATTTATCTATCAATTTTTTTAATTTCTCTTTTATTTATCTTTAACAACTTTTTATTTACTTAAATGATTATCGATTTATTTAATTAGATATTTGTATAAATTTTTTTATTTACATTTTAGATTTTTTATATAAAAAACTTATCAAAATAGTCTTAAAAAATAATTTATGACCCACAAAACATGAATTATATATATACTAGATGGCATGTTCGCGCTCCGTTGCTAGCTTATGAAATATATGTGCCTGATGACGTTATAATTATAAATTAATATTAAAAAATAAAATCAATAAAAATAATTTAAAAAATCATAAATAAAAAAACACAAAAAAAGATGAAAAAAACCATATAGGAAAACACAATAACAATTCACAATATTTTGTGAGGAAAGTTACAGTGCTTACCCCATATAATTTAGTCTTACTTATAATCATTTGTAATTATAATTCTCAACCACCATAATATTAAGAAAATAAAATCAACCAATACAATTAAAAAACAATGTGGGAAAAACACTGTAGTATTCCACAGTGTTTTGTGAGAAAAACTATAGCTATAATTCTCAACTAATTCAATATTTAAAAAAAAAATGACAAATAATTTAAAAAAAAATTATAAACAAAAAACTATGTAGAAAAAATACTGTAGTAATTCACAGTGTTTAAAAAAAAACTGCAAATCTAAATTTTTAACTAGCTCAATATTAAAAAAAATATTTTTTTTTAAATAACAAACTTGAGAAAAATTAAAAAATAAAAAATAAAATCAACAAATAATTTTAAAAAAAATCATAAAAAATTATGTGAAAAACACTATAGTAATTCATAATATTTTAAAAAAATTATAAAAACTAAATTTTTACCCTGTTTAATATTAAAAAAATAAATTTAATAAATATAATTTTGTGAAAAAAAATAAGGAAAATTTTGGAGTATTATTTAATATATATATATATATATATATATATATATATATATATATATAATGACCGTGGTCCCACATGTGGCCGCCGTAGATTATCGACAGATGACATCGTATCACTCCACCGACAATTGCCAAGTCCTCTCCCATGTTCACCAACGGCTAGTTCCAAGTGACCGTTTTCATAACCCAACCCAAAAATTCAAACTCTCGAAGAACCCTAAATAAACACCAATCCGGAAAATAAAAAATAAAAAAAAAGGAACACTTGAAAATCTTCATTAAAATCACAACAGCCCTGGCACCCCATAAAAATCACAATTATTTGTTATCTCTTCTATTCACTTGTTCAAATCAAGAAACAAGGAAAAGATCCTCAAAAATGGTATACACATACACACCAGCATACTACTCTACTCTCCACGACTCAATCACCTCTCTTTGCAAAACAATCCTCCCTTTTTCCTTCAAGAAAAAGAGATTGACTGATGCAGAACACAGGCTCTCAAAGCTGCAGTCTGATAACTTGAAGTGGCAACAAGACTCATTCCACCAGATTTTGAACTTGATGGGGTTGCATAAAGAAGATATTTTAGCTGAAAATGAGGTTTCTGCTTTCAAGATTCATTTGCTTGAGACCCTTATTGCTTCTCCACTTGAACATGAACAACCAGTCATTTTAAGAGATAAATTGGTCTTCTTGCAGGTAAACTTTTTAGTTTTAGAACCTGGGCTACATTTTATTTCAGTTTTTCTGTTTAGACAAGAAAATTAAACTAATGCTTGTTTTGTCTTTTTTTTAGGAGCTTCTTTATGCAAAATGTATATCAGAAGATGAGTACCATTCATCAAAGAGGCCTTTGTTACAACGGCTAGCAGTACAAGGAGCAGAAATTGATTCAAGAGATGTTATTTTTGCTGGTCCAATAGACACAAAAGAGGACAAGGAAGGGGAGTGGTCGGTTATTGATTTAAAAGATGAGAAAAGTTTGATTGGTAAAGAAACTTTACAGTCCAAAAACAGATCAAAGCCTAACTCAGCGGTCAAGCAAATCAAAGGAGCAGCGTCAGTTTTTGGCTTTGGGTCCTCTCACAAGCTAAGCAAACACAAAGAAGAAAAGAGTATTTTTGAAATTGAAGCAAGATTGGCCTCCTCTGGCCATGTTAGGAACGGATCAGAGAACCCACGTTGGGATGAGGGAAGTGTAACGAAGTCAATTCTCATGCAACCAAGCTTACCAAATGAGTCTACAAAAGAAAGTGGAAGCAATGACAAATCCAAGAGGAAACCCTTTAAGACTCTGTTTCTAAAAGAGCCAAGAGAAGGAGGTGGTGGTGGTGGTGATAATGGTCTTAATTGTGAGGATAAAACCTCGAAATCGACAAAAAAAACAGTGGGGTTTTGATGGGTTTAAGAAGTGGAAGAAAAATGATTCAGATGATGAGACTGCTCCTCTGCCTCTTAACAATGAAAGATCTGACAGTGAGGCTTATTCAGGGTCTTACCATCTTGTTGATAGTCCCATTGGAGAGGGACCAGACACTATACATATTAAGAAGAAGCTGCATTCTAATGGCTCTGCTTCAAATTTTTTCATCGATAAGGTTCAGCCTTGACAGTTTATATAATTTTTTTTTTCTAAATCTTTAACTTTAGACCTTAGCTTATGTGTCTATCTGCTGTTAATTACTCAGGTTTCAGGGGACAAGATAAAGAAGGAGATATCAAAAATCCAAACAGAACTCAGCACAACAAACTCCAGTCTTCAATTTTCGTAAGCATTGTTTTTTAGTGACTTTGAAATAGTTGTGTCTTTGTGTGTGTTAGCTATCAATTAATCATTTACTTTTGTCTTGCATTGTTCTTGTTATTTGTGGTTCTATCAGTGATAACCAAATTGAAGCAATTTCCACCAAACTTCCTGTTGACAAGGCTGACCTGAAAAAGTTCTGTCCCAAGTAAGAAAACAATTAAAAGGCATTTCTTTTCAATGCTTGTTTTTGTCACAGCATATCTGATTTGGTGATCTACTAAAAGTCGAAGGCATTTCTTTACATTTGCATCCTTGCTACAGCATATCAAACTTATTATTTACGAGACCTCGTATAAACGGCAAATATGTTGTGTTTTTTTAAGGTCATGGCGTGATCGTTATGGTGATGTTGTACTGGATGAGGTGAAGGAGGAGGTCAAGGATCATGTTGGAGAGATGGAGAGACAGAGAAATGCTGCAAGAGAGAAACATCACAATAACTCAATGCGATGGACAACATTTGAAGATGATGATGAGAATTATCACCCAAACCTTTTTTCTCAACAGGATCACCATTCATTTCCAAAGGGCCAGAATTTTACATCCAGGAATGATCATAGAGCCTATACTAATCCCTTCTCCCATGATTACTCCGAAAACAATGGAGATAAGATGAGAACAGAATCATTCCAAAATCCCTTCTGGATCCCAAGGCAGCAGCAGTATTAGTGTAGGGGAATTGATATGCTCTTGATAAGGAAGCAGTATTCGTGTTTTTTGTGTACTTGTGTTCTATTGTAATTGGTGTCCAAATTCTCAAAGAAACTAGATATGTGAGTATATAATGTTTAGTTTTTAATTATATAAAATTAAAATACAAATATGAAAATTTACAATCATAATAAAAAGATTAGCATGAATGATTAAATCAATACCCCCATCATGTATACTAACAAAAAAAAAAAAAAACTTGGTGAAGCGTTTTAAGTTTGATTTTGGGTGAAATATGAAGGTTTTGGATAGAAGAGAGTTTGTTTTGAGGTGATTTTGGATGAATTTGAAATTAAAATAATTTTTAAATTTTTTTGATATTAGCTTATAAAACACTAAAAATATCAATTTAATAATTTTTTTAAGTCACAAAAAAAATTTAAAAAAAATACTTCCAAAAAGAAATGGAAAGTAAAAAAACGAGAGAGAGAGAGCCCGGTGCTTACACTTGTCCAGAATTCGATCAACTTGAGAGAGAGAATGTAGTCAAGAGATGGTGAATTGCTCATACTCATTCATCTAAAGAGTACTTCGGAATAAAATTAATCACTGGATAGAAAACTCATTTAATATACAAAGAATTTTTTTTAAAATATAAGAACATGTTGAATACTTATGCTCTGTTATTTTTTTTGAAAAATAAATTCCGAAAAAGTAAATTTCAGGGAAAATGAATTCCTAAAAAGTAAAGTATTTTCCGATATTTGGTAGTGTTATGGAAAATGAACTGAAAAATAATTTATTAATATTTTATTTTTCTCAAGTTTATTAAAATAATAAGGAATAAATCTTACAAATTAAAAAGTTGAATAATAATGAAATTGAAAAAAAATTCATAAATTATCTCAAATAAAATAAATAATAATCAAAATAATAAAGATCAAATAGAAAGTTTGGAAAGTGTTTTTTTAGAAACCACTTTCCTGAAAACAAACACAGCTAAAAAGAAAAACACTTTCCTGAAAATCAAGCCAATTTTTTTTTTAACTAAAAAATATTTTTGTTGACCAGAAAATATTTTCCGTTAACCAGAAAGTGTTTTCCGTTGACCGGAAAGTGTTTTTCGTTAACTGGAAAATGTTTTTTATTGACCGGAAAATATTTTCCATTGACCAATTTTTCTAATAACAAACAAACACAGGAAAGTTTGGAAAATAATTTCTCGAAAACTGTTTTCTAGAAAACAAAAATGACCTTATCTCCTTTGATTTGATTTACTATACAGATTCTTGTAACCTTCTCAGGTTTAAAAATATTACAACAACAAATCAAAAACAACCCTTTGAAAAAAATAACATTAAAACTAGTTCTTCCAAGATACTTATCTTCTTTTTTATAAGACCTTTGAAAAAATAAAATAAAAATGATACAAATAATATAAAAAACAAAATAAATAAAATTTTATCTCTACAAACATATAAATTGAACTTATTTATTAATTAAATTTAAAATAAAATAAATATTATAATTAAATTTAATTACAGTAAAGGTCACCGACCTGTAAGATCTGTTGAATTCAAACTTCAGGGGATATAATACAAGAGATGGAATTTATATAAGGTAATAAAAGGTTGTATATACAATTATATATGCTATTATATCAAGTGGAAGGAATTTCCGGATTTGGGATTGAAGGCTCGTTGGCACCCTCACGAACATCTCCTCGACAAAGTAGGCACACCCTGTAAAAATATCAACAGAGGAGGGAGGGGGGGGAGAACGATGTGCCAAAATTTTCACACCAGAAATGGAAAAAAAATGATTATGAATATGGTTTATGAAGAAAAAGATAGGCAGCAAAAGGGCAGGAAGGTGGCAATATCAATACCCATGTATTTCTTTAAGCCATTTATCCACACAAGCCATGTGATATTCATGGTGGCAGGGAAGAACCCTTATTTTGTCACCTTCCTCGTACTCGGCCAGGCAAATGTAACACCTGGTCCATCAGAAAGGTATTATCAAACACAATCCAAACGACCACAAGTGAATAAAGATGGCTATCATTCTGTAAACAGAAACCATCTCAATATTTGTTCACATATTAATATGGGCGCAATCCAAGTACCGAAACACCACCAATTGCAAGTTCCCCACCACTTCTACAAGCAATAACAACCATGTGCATATACACTTCCTGGCTTATCCTAGTGTGCATGCACGTTCATGCCAAAAAACATGTTTCAATGAGAAACTTACTGTTCTTCCTCATCATTGCCCTCAACTTTGTCAACTTTTTTGTGATTCTTAAGAGGGAAAGAATCAACTATGGATTCAGGGGCAGGGAGCGACATCATGGATAGAGACAGTGACACAGGCTGACGATGAATTTCATCCAAAACCTGCAGCTTAAACATACACCAGAACTTAGTAACAACCAACGCAGGTCAAATAGTGCATAAATCATGGTAAAACTGCCTGGCACAGATTTCATGGCCAAAGCAGCTCCCTCATCATGCAATTGATGGTGGCTTCCACACCTCTGTAAGCAACTCTACATAGAAAGACAGCTGCGCAGTTTCTAAAAACCTACTGCTAGATCTTAGTCTTGTTATGAGACAGAACAACAGCTAATATCTAAATGCAAGCGACTCTAGAGCAAATTTTTTCACGAAAAGTAAAGGGGGTATTCAACTATTCAGGATTCACCTTCATGCTCAAAAAGATTGCAAAATAATGCACCACCTTTTCTCATCAGATTCCTCAAACAAATGTAATAGAGTTACAAATTGTGGGATTAGCAGAATAAGAATCTAAAATTCTACTGCGGGTCAGACTTGGTTCAACACAATTATACCCTTGAATTTGCAATCCACACAGAAGTGACGCTAACAAAATCAAAAGACAAATATATACACAGATATATAAATAGTGACTTAAAGCATCATTATCATCAACATAATGAATTCAAATTAGCAACTCTATCACACAAGTCCATTCTGTTTTTCAAACTACATCCATTTTTCATGAATGGGATGAGTGAAGTCAGGTGAAGATGTGTCAAAGGAGAACTACCTCAAACAGAGCTTCAGCAAGCATGACTATTCGTGATATACTTCCAGGACTAGTTCGTAAGAATTACAGATGGACAAAAGGGATTTTAACCTTATTTGTTATGTTCTGCTAACCCAGCTGCCATGACTACTGGATAGACAATGTAAGGAGTGGCATACAATCATACCAAAGAAACTAAAAGAACCATTGAATGTGCGAAAAAAGACTAGGGCTTGCCATTTCAAAAAAAAAACCTCTATCAGGCCAAAGAGCAAATACTTCCTGCAAAAGTACAGAACTACAGGGCCAAGGAAGAATTCAGATTTTGGGCCTTGGGAGGGTCAGAAAGTAAAATTTCTATTTTGGGCTGGCCATTTCATTAGGATTTATTTGAAATGTTTCCAAGAATAAGAGGGGTTTTGAATTTTTGTTAACGCCCTGAGGACTGTCTTTCTAGGCTTCCTTCCCAATTCCATAGTTCAGTGGAACAATAACTGTACAAGGGTCTGATTATAAGAAATAGTCAACTCCATCAACATACAGACGTATAATCCCCAATATCTATCACAATCATGCACACAAAGTAAATGATATCATAGCATTCTTTCCTCAGAACTATTCAGAAATATCACCTCAGATCTTGACTGTCGTCTTCGTTCAGTCAATCTGTGAATTCTCCTGCCCAAGTATCTAGAATCATTGTCTATCCCATCGCTGAAAAAATCAACACTGGAATTAAGAAGCCATCTGTCATGGGATTCAAGATCATCATCATCATTATCTGTCGAGAAAACAGTAGTCGGAGAATCAACATGCCTCCTAGAACTGCGCCTTGAAAATGCATCCCAAAACAGTCTTCTGCTATTCCTTCTGGCTTCATGATTGCTTGTATCTGAAGTGCTGCTAGAATAAATGCTGGAAGAGATACTCACAACATCGACATGGAGTACAGTTCCGTCTGTCCGGTCTTGTTCCCTATTGGGCACAAGAAATCCTAAATCTGAAGCTACCAAATCTTGGATAGACTCATCTTGAGTTGGGTGAAAGGTTACTCGAACATCAGGCCTATGAGTTACAGAATCAGAATCGGAATTAGGTATGTCTGTTACTTCACCCATATGTTTGTCAAAAGAAGCATCATTAGAATGTGAATCTCCAAGCCTCGAAGGATCTGAACTGCTTGGATGTATAATATCAGGATAGATCTGAGAAAAACCCTTGTTCTCTGAATTGTCAATGTCATTGACAGCATCCATGTTAGTTGAAACATTCATAGATACAGGATCTGATGATTGCTGTTCTTTAAATGAAGTACTAGCTTCAGTAATACTTCTATTCCTTCCCGATTCATCACGACTATGACTATCACTTACCTGATCCAGGCCAACTAACTCCTTGCTGTCAGATAGGCATTTCCCTCGACAGCTTATGTCAAGATTTCTATAACCATCATTCACAAAAGTTCCCTCACTGGCTGTTATACTGTTTCCAGATGATCCTCCAGTTTCAGTATCTGAGCTACTAGACCCTGTTACCATACTAGAAACCACAGATGATTCCTCAGCAGAATTCTGTACCTCATTGATGAATGGGCCACACTGTTCCAGAGAATTTACCAGACTTTCATCTGGATAGTCTTCCATCTATTGGAAAAGGATGGCATGCGTATCAGTCTCTTCTGTAAAATGTAGCCACACCATTTGAATAGTAGCATCCTTAAATAGACTTCACCAAACATTAAAAAAATTGCACATTGATCAAGACTAGAAATATAACAGGAAATCAATACTGCCACCTCACCACATCTTGCTCCTTGAATGAGAGAAGTGCCTACTGCCTAGATTTGTTTATACCCTATGTCAACACTAAGGAATTGCTCCTTATCCATACTGCAGAACCATCTGGCTCTCACAAATTGCATTAATCAGTTTTAGTCATAATAACATTGAAAAAAAGAGCTTCCGTTACAGACTTATAGAAATTGTTTATAACAAAACAAGCATTAAAATCTTCTTAAGAAAATCAAAAATCAATCAAGGGCATTGAGCAAGGCTGCCAAGTATCAATTGATCATTGGTCTTGTGGGGAAAGTGCACATACTAAGACAGTTTTCCTATTCTAATGGCAAATAAAGATAATTTGTAAAACATTCTGAAACACCAATTTGGAATACAGGGATACATGAACTATGTCAGAGCAAATCATCTGTTTGTTAACATCACCTTAAGCTCGATCAATCATCAATGCGGACATCATAAAGTTTGACAAAAATCTATACGAACCCCAATTAAACTAAAAATCCAATGACTACACATGTAAGACTAAGGTCTATAAATTAATATCATTTTCTATGTAAAGGAATTGCAAAGACACAAAACTTGAACTTTTAATCAAATAACCAAAGTGACCAAATATTCAGACGATTAGAGAGCTAAGCTACCATGTCTCTATCGATAAACAAACAATTCAAAACAAAATTTGATGGAAAACACACACAAAAAAAATTCCTTTCACCAACAGTTGACAAGCAGCAGAAACAACCCCATAAAACCCAAAAACAAGACAGCTTTTCCAACATCATAAGATAAATCCTAGATCATCAAAAGCCACAGATATTTTCACGCAAAGATTCAAACTTCTATCAAAACAACAGAAAACATGAAATGGGTATTCATTATTTTCTCCAAGGTCATTTCATTTTACAAGATAAGATAACAACATAAACAATCCATTTTTAACGCTAATTAGACAACCCCAGATCATCAAAACTGATTAAAGAAAAAAAAACAGAAATGAAAAATCAATTTGAAGTTAAAATTTTAAATCACAATTCTTCTTCTTTTTTTTTACCTCATGACGAGCTGTGCGAAAAGAAAAGGAGCCACCGCAGGTGAAAAAAGAGAAGAACCTGGACGACCTTCGGTTCAGTCGGGCCCGTGTTGAGAGTGGCCCCGGTCTACTACTACTCGAACCCATTTCTTTAGAAATAAAAAAGGCTGAGGAATGATAGTGATGGTGGGATGCAACTGCATAGCTAAAAATGATCCTTGTTATTTCATGTTGTTTGTGTTTTTGAAATTGAAATTGATTAGAGGTGAGAGAGTTTTTTTTCTTACCTTTTGGGTTGATAAGATTATATTCGAAAGTTATTTTTTAAAATGTTTTTATATTTAAAAATATATTAAAATAATATTTTTTAATTTTTAAAAATTATTTTTGAAATTAATATATTAAAATAATATAGAAATATTAAAAAATATATTAATTTAAAATAAAAAAATTTAATTTATTTTTAAAATTTTTAAAGCATAAAAACAAACTATCATTGAGTGTTTTAGAGTTAGTTTTCTTGCACAAAACTGAAACACGTCCACATTCGGTGCCATAGCATACATGCTGTACGTCCCCCTCTAAATATCCACTACTATAATTCTTTTTTTTAAAAAACAAAATTCTTAGTTTTTAAAAAGGTTTCCTTTTTTTTTTAACGTGCAACTAGAAATATTTTAAAAAATTCAAATAAAAAATAAAAATAGTTATTTTTTAAGTTGTTTTTTTTTTGGGTAATCATCTGATTACCTCGTGTTTATATTTACTTTTTAAAAATTGCTAATTCATATTTTTAATAAAAAATTTACATTTTTTTTATTATTTTAATTAAAAATTAATGCTAAAAAAATAAAAAGAATCAAGATTTTACTGTGCATATAGATTTAGGCTATTATGAATTTAAATAGTAAAATAATAATTATTTTACCTTTATTAAAAAAACTCAATAATCTTTAATTTAGAAGTAGGATAGTTTTTTATAATGATTCATTCATCATTATTAAATTAATTGAGGACAACAATGATTTTTTTATATTTTTTTAGCATATTAAAATGACATATTAATCATTAAAAATAAAAACAAAATATTAATCTAGCATGCATGAGAATTTTTTACTTTGTATTTTTGGCACTTTGATATGATTTCAGTACCCTTGAAAGAAAAAATTACTAGACTTGTTTTTAGGGTTTCTTAGTAATTTTATTCAGGATATTTTTATTATAATCAAGTAGGGTTAGAAATAATTTGGTATTTTGATAAATATATAATATTATTAAAAAACTTGATGCACATACTAGTATGTATAACCTCTTCATACTTTTCATATAATGTTTGATATGTTATCTAATATTTGATATGTTATCTAAGTAGTGGAATACGGACTTTCATGATAATGTTAGAAACATTATAAAACCTCTTTCCATTAGGGGTAATGTGAGCAATTGAGGTAAAAATTTATTATTGATGACTTTTTTTTTTCTTTTCTCTCTTCTCATCTCAAAATTAATGTTGCTCTTTAAAATTTCGTATACATCCTTTTATTTACTAATAATTCAACTTTGATCTCTCTTTTTTTTTTTCTCTTGGCACTTTTCTCATATTTCAATTTGTTTTCAATGTTCATAATTGTGATTTGTTATTTTTTCAAATATGGTCTTTTTTCTTTTGATTTTGATTAGTTTTTTTAGATTGTTTAGTGAATTTGGTTTTTCTTTTCATTTTTATTCTATAATTCAAAATTTTATATTTTCTTCTCGTTTATTTTTAATTTCATTATCCTAATTGCTATTTTTTTTTATTTTCTATAATTAATTTTTTTTTATGAATTTGATTTTTTTTCTTTTCAATTCAACATTCTAAATTGTCCTCACATTTATTTGTTATTTCACATTCAATCCTCGTTCTTGGTCCTAGGAGTATAAAAACTTAATAAATCTTGGTCTTAAGAGTAGAGTGGTCTTTTCATAAGGATTTTTAATCATTATCAAAATAATTTGGGACAAAATTAATTTTTTTTCATATTTGTTTCATAATAAAATGACACAATAATCCTTAAAAGTAAAAAATATTAAATTTGTGTGCAGGAGTGTTTTTATCTTTCCATTTAGCACATTTCCATTTAGCACATTGAAAAAACTTGAGAACCCTTAAAAGCAAAAATTACTAAACTTGCTTTTGGTTTTTTTTTTTTTTGTTATAATCAAGTAGGCTTAGGGCTAATTTGGTATTTTGATAAATATATAATATTATTAAAAAAATCAATGCATGTCCTAGCATGTAGAGCCCCTTTACGCTCTTCATATAATGCTCGATGAGATGTTCAGTAGTGGATTACCAACTTTTGTGATGGCATTTAAAAAGTCACAACACCTCCCTCTATATAGGGTGGTGCATGTGGCAGTTGAGACAATAATTTATTGTTAATGACCTATTCTCCTCTTCTTTTCTTTTATTCTTTTCCTCTTTTCTTTTTTCTTGTCTAGAAATTCATATTAGCCCTTTAAAATTTTAGATTTGTCCTTTCATTTACTGATATTTCAAATTTAATTCTTTTTATTTTTTATTTTTTTTCTTGGCTAATTTCTCATATTTCAATTTATTTTCAATGTCATCATATGGTCTATAACTATGATTTGTTATTTTTTTTAATTGTTGTCAAGTTAATATGTGACCACTCATTTAATAATTAGTCAACAAATCAATAGTTTAAAATTTTGGTCTATAAAAAAAAAGCATTTGCTATGCATTTAGACATCTTGGTTTTCAGATCAAGATCATGTTCTTGCTCCTTTTCTTTATATTTTTGAAATGCTTAAGTTTTGTTTTCATTAATATCTTATTTATGCTTTTCATTTCATTTACTCAGTTAACTTATATCTTATTTATGTTTTTATCTTGTTTATTTATGTTTCTCTTTTTCATTATGTTTAGCTAAATTTATTATGTCAAGATGAAAAGGTTACACTAATGGTGTAAGAATAAGTATAGTGTAAACTTAACATGGATTTTAATGTTTGATACTAATATATTTTGTATTTGTTATCTTATTCACTCTTAATACTTTGCTTGTTAAATAGTTAATTTAGATTTATGTTATATAATCCTTGGTACAACAAATACTTAGCACTTTCATAACCTAATTGTATGGTATAATCGACACTTATATTATGAAAAGAACTTGATTTGTTATTAACATAAGTTATAATCATGAATATTTGACAATATTTACAAATATTAATATTTTTCGAATAAGATAACTAATATAATCATGTTAACAATTTATAATTCGATTGGAATCTTCTTTGTGTGTGGTTTCTAGTTGAGTAATTAAAAGAGTTTGTACTATACTTGTTTGAAATACCATTAATGAATTTTCTAACTTTGACATTTATTTTTATCCTTATTTAATCTTTACATTAATTTTACATCTCAAAACTCTCTTTAACTCCTTTTATATTATTATTATTTACTATTATTACTATAATTATTATTATAATTTATAATTTATATAGTTAACCTTCCTATGGTTCGACTTTAGTCTTACCGAATTATTTATTATTTCGACACTCCTGTACTTGAAAGAATACATCAATATTTTGATCATGTCTGTCGCTACACGACGTCCGACGACGACTCCACTCTTTTTTGTTTGTTTTAACAAAAAGAATAAATGTTTTTTTTTTCTTGATTGGGGGAAATAAAGATTTTTATTGGAGTCGCCATCTAGTAATTTGAGGGAACTAGAAATCTAAAATTAGACACTGGTCCTAGAGATTCAGGTACTGGGTTGTTATGATTAAGGGAAGGTAGACATCACCCTTACAACATCCTTTCAGAGAAAGATTACCTTTACTTGTGTGTTTTTCATTTGATTCAAATGCTATTATATTTTGAGCTTATATGCAAATTTCTTAAGATGGTTAACGTCGGTTCCTAAAAATAAGAGACATGTTAAAAATGAAATCAGTCCCTAAACTTTGTCTAAAATATCGACGTTTTTCCCTAAAAAGGAGAGTTGCGTCTGATTTACCAAAAGAAATAATAATGGACATAATCCATA